AGGAATAGGTCCCAGACCTGGCACAAGCCAGGACTGAGCTGAGCTGCCTGCCCACCCAGCTCCTAACACACTTTAAATACAGAGTTGCACTGGGGATAGGTCCCAGACCCAGCACAAGCCAAGACTGAGCTGGGCTGCTGGCTAGCCTGCTAAAAAATTTACTGGCAAGGGGAGGAGGGGGGGAATGTGTGTAGTCTATAACATTAACTGATAAGCTTTTTGCTAAACCCTAAGCTACATGGCACATATTTCACCAACTAGTGTATGTTAAATGAATCTTTAGGTCACTTAAAGGACCACATGGCCTAGGGGAATTTTTAATAATGCAAGGAGAAATATTCACAAAGATAACGTATCATACTTCGACATTCTACAATTGACATTAGTGTTTTAATAACATTAGAAAATACAATGCCTTGAAAAACACAACAGTACAGGCAGAGTCAATGTTAAAGAAATTAGAATGAGCAGCAAAAACAAAAATCCCAGACCAAAAAAAATTAGTTGAACAACCTCCAAAAAAAAGGAGCAGTACTGATGGTGCCATCTTCAGAAATTTCTAAAAGAATGACCACAGTAGGTCTGGCATAGCAGTATAAAGAACTACAGGAAAGGAATCTTAAGTTCTGTTCAAACCCAGTTCTATCCTTTGATATTCTTTCTAGCCTGCATCAGCACAGTAGCTGAGCCTTTCACAAACACATTAATGAACTCAATCTCCCAACACTACTCAAAGGTAGGGAAGTAGCATTTAAGGATGCTAAACCATTTAACATAAGTAAGTAGGAGGCTGTGGAGGATCTGGTGGGATGGGAAACAGGACCCCATGGCCACAGTGGGACCAGGGAGCTGCAGCAGGGATGGGGAAAAATCATAAAACGAATAACTGTTGTAACATCCCTAGAAATAGTGATAGAAATGTAGCCATGTTAGTCCTGTTTTTTGTTTCAGCTACACCAGACTATGTAGCACTTTAAAGACTAACAAGACGGTTTATGAGGAAGTGGGTCTGGCCCACGAAAGCTCATCACCTAATAAACCATCTTGTTAGTCTTTAAAGTGCTACATAGTCCTGTTTGTAATCTAAGGGTAACATTTCTAGGGATAAAAGACTGGGAACTGAGGCACAGAGAAGTAAGTGACTTGCTTAAGGCCATGCATACAGGACGCCTGACCAGGCTGCAAGAGGATAGCTGTTTGAGTTACTACTTGTTTTTAAAGTTACACTCTAATATAGGGTGAGCCTCTCTAGTTCAAGCAAAATACAGGACTATGTAGCACTTTAAAGACTAACAATATGGTTTATTAGATGATGAGCTTTCGTGGGCCAGACCCACTTCCTCAGACCAAATAGTGGAAGAAAATAGTCACAACCATATATACCAAAGGATAAACACATTTGATTTGTCTTTTTTATATATCAGAACAGAAGGGGGAAGTAGGAATTATTTGATCTGAGGAAGTGGGTCTGGCCCACGAAAGCTCATCATCTAATAAACCATATTGTTAGTCTTTAAAGTGCTACATAGTCCTGTACAGGCAGTCCCCGGGTTACATGGATCCAACTTACATCAGATCCCTACTTACAAACGGGGTGAGGCAACCCCGCACTAGCTGCTTCCCCCCAGCAGACTAGGGAGATGCGAAGCTAGAGCCCCCCTTCTTCCCCCCAGCAGACCAGGGAGATGCGGAGCAGCTTTTCTCAGCAGACACCTCAGCTTGAGAATAAAGGACTGAGGGAAGTGAGGTGTGGGAGAATAAAACTGAGCTCTGGAGAAATGTTTGGCTAGAGTTTCCCCTACAATATGTACCAGTTCCAACTTACATACAGATTCAACTTAAGAACAAACCTACAGTCCCTATCTTGTACGTAACCCGGGGACTGCCTGTATTTTGCTTCAGCTACACCAGACTAACACAGCTACACTTCTATCACCTCTCTAGTTCAGAACTCTCTGGTCTACAGACATCCACGGTCCGGCAGGACACACTGAATGTCCATGTGTCATGGATGTGGCCACGTTTCCCATAAAGCTTGTTTGCGGCCACCGGTCCCGGCTCTCAGTGCGGTGAGCAGTTCCATAGCTTTCCATTTACCCCTAGGCTGTGTCTACACTGGGCCACTTATTCCGGAAAAAGCAGCCGCTTTTCCGGAATAACGTGCCAGCTGTCTACACTGGCCGCTTGCTTTTCCGGAAAAGCAATGATGATCTACTGCAAAATAGTCAGTGTTTTTCCGGAAAAACTATGCTGCTCCTGCCCTTTTGGCCAAAAGTCCTTTTCCGGAACAGTTTTGCCGGAAAAGGGCCAGTGTAGACAGCCCAGTAGTCTTTTCAGCAAAAAAGTCCCGATTGCGAAAATGACGATCGGGGCTTTTTTGCGGAAAAGCGCATCTACATTGGCACGGACACTTTTCTGGAAAAAGTGCTTTTCCACAAAAGCATCCTGCCAATGTAGACGTGCTTTTTCCGGAAATACTTATAACGGAAAACTGTTCCGTTTTAAGCATTTCCAGGAAAGGGTGCCAGTGTAGACGTAGCTCCTAATGTCTTCTGCCGGCCCAGGGAGCAGTGGAGGTGCCGGCAATACCACACCGGGCCGGACGGGAGAGGTTCAGCCCGCAGCCCGCTGCTCCCTGAGTCCAATCTCGGGCCAACCGGCCTCTGCTCCGCTCCCCTCAGCCGGCCACCCAGACGCGCAGTTTGCTGCCCCCGCTCCCAACCCCGGCGCCGCCCCGCGGACTCTGCAGCCGCGTTTGTGTCCCGGCGGGGGCGG